CGAGACGTCAGCGAGATCTTTTGTCTGACAAAACCAACAACGACCAACAACATTATGATGCGCACGACGAGGCACCAACGTCCATGTATTATTCTGGTAAAGAGCATCCCTTTCATGACGCATGGTCGTCATCCATTGGGGTTGTTTAGCAGCAAACTTAAAACCCTTGGGATCATTGGAGGAAAATAGAGTAGACTAAAGCCCATGACCAGACGTGTGGGAGAAATCAGCCTGATGCTTGGGTTTAAAAATCCCAGCCTTGGCACGCGTAGTCATCGGATGAACTGTTGGCTGAGGTATAGATGCCGGAGCATCGGAAGGTGGACTCAAAAGGGAAGGAGCTGGAGTAGTAGGCTCGTTTGGAGTAGGTGTGGGCTTGATGATAGGGTGCTTATGACAGACTGGAATAGGCGCGGGCGAAGTAGGCTCGTTAACGGTCTCGTCACAAAGGCAACAAGTGGGCGGCAACCGAGGGCAATCCGAAACAGACGAAGTTGGTGAGGGGGCAAGCCGCGCAACAAGAGTACATGGAGAATGAAAAACTTTGTTCGTCAAATTTAGCATGCCAAATAATATAAATGTGTGACAAGGTAGGTTCAAGGCATTAATATCCTTTGTATCCGAAACAATAACCAATGCAAATACACGGTAAGCTCCACGAAGAGAGTTTGTGATCTGTATAATCATGCAAGTAGGGGTAAACATGGAACCAAAACGATCGAAGGTGATCATAAGTGGGAGCACGTTGAAAGAGGAGCTCGAACGGTGATTTATTTTGTAATACCGATGATGGTAGGCGATTGATGACGTAAACAGTGGGACATGAGTGCTAAATAACATCGCGAGAATGGTTTCAACAATATGCCTATGTTTGTGTTCCACCCAGGCATTATGTTGGGAGCGTACGAGCAAGAAATCCAGTGAAATGTGCCATTGTCATCAATCAATTTGCGAACATTATTATTTAAGAATTCGGTGCCATAATCACTTTGAAGAACTTTGACTTTGCGAGAGAATTGCATTTGAATGAACTTGAGAAAAACATCCTGAGTGGCATAAAACCCAAATTTGGTTTTCAGAGGATAAATCCATGTAAAACGAAAATAGTCATCCACAAATGCAACACAATAACGATAGCCATCAACAAAACATTTAGGTGATGGTCCCACAAATCATAATGTATCAAATGCAACATATTTAAAGCATGTTTTCATTTATGACAAAAGGTAAATGGTGTGCCTTTGCCATTTGACAAGAAATGAAAACAACAGGTTTTGGTAAAAGGGAGGTAACCAATAAATGGCTCTCTTTATTCAAAAGTAAAAGAGTATCAAAGGACATATGTCCCAAACGAGAATGCCATAATTCAAAAGATGCTTTTAACTTGGATTTGGTGGAAGAAAAAGGAGCCCGAGGAGTTATAGAAAGAGCATATAGGCCACGTTCACAATGACCTTGAATGGGAACCTTCTTTGTTGCGCGATCATGAATGTAGAAATAAGTTTAGGAAAACAAAACATCCATAAGTTTGATGTTGTTTTAAAAAGAAGAGTGTCCAATGTGTGATATAGGGAAAACCGTACTGTTCCCAAAAGTGAGCTTATTGGTGCCGGTGTAGGGAGCGGGTTAAGATACAGACAAAAAAAGGAGAAAATGTGGTCCGTAGCTCCAGAGTCAACATACCAATCATACCAATCAGGTCCCGATGTTGAAACATTGCATTAGGCATGGAAGGCCTTTGTGAGATCAGAAATGGAACGCAAAGCATGAGAAGCATACTTGGCTAGTTAAGGCATGCATTAGCATAATGACCTGTGGTGCGACATAACTAAAAGTTGGGGCCGGGCCGACATACCCAACCCCGACCGACACGAGAGGATCAACCATCCCGACCCTGATTAGAGTTAGCGTCGCGAGTTTGCATAGAAAAAGCAACAGGAGGAGAAGTAGCCCCATAAATCAATTTCAAAAAACATTTGTACCCCTCTGCTTGTGCAAGAAGATCCCAGAAGAGAAGGGAGTCCAAGAGGCACAAGTGGCAGTGGAAAATTTCTCAAACGCACCACCACGACCACAAAAGAACCAATGGATCTTATCAGATTTTTCAATCGAATGACCAATGGCCACTAACTGGTCACAGATAGACTTAAATTTCCGACCAAACTCAGCAAAAGAAGCCGCACCCTTAGAAATTTTGTGAAGCTGATCGCGAAGATTATGAATTCGCTCAATCGAATAGCTGCTGTAGGCGGCTTCAAGCGCAACCCAGAAATATGGTCCGTAGCTCCGGAGTCAACACACCAATGTTCTCGTCTAGGCACTCTGCTAATCGACCCGTACATTTTGGTACAAGTTATGATCCAAAATCATATGATCAAAAAATGACATATGATCCAAAATATATGATTAAAAATGATTTGATCAAAAATGTATATTGTGATCCAAAAATATTATGATGTTTAATCTCTTATGGTTCGAAAATTTTATAATTGTTAAACATCAAAATCCTAACCGATGTTAAATTCAAAAATCTAAAAGAAGTAAAAAAATCAAAACAGTAAAAAATCATAAAGATAAAGAAAAATTAAAATAACGAAAAATAAAAAAAACCGAAAAAAATAAAATAATTAATTTTTTAAAAAAAAAAGCAGAAAAAAAAATCCAAAAACAAAGAAAACCCCACTTAAATGAAGTTCTATGAACATTTGTCGTACATGATTTATGATTATATCCTTGAGTTCATTACGTTCTACAAACGTGCGTCGCACGTGATTGCGTCATGTCCAAGGATATGATGTTTGCCGTTCTTGTCCTTAAAGAAATGGGTAATTAAACAGATGTCCCAATTGATAAGAAACATTTACACTTTTCTAATTTTATACTTTTTTAAGATAAAATAATAACAAGAAAAAAAGATAGAATCGAACAACCGTACGAGCATTATGCATTGCATACGACTCTACAATAAAATTGACCATTACCTTACATTAAATAAAGGAAAAATAGGATCGATTAGACCCTGATCGGTAAATGATCAACTTACCACCCAGCCTTTCGGAGGAATTCAAAAATACTATGATAGCTCCGTTGCTTTATATATTTATTTTAGTACATTTTTTTTGTCTGTGATTAAGCAATCCCAAAGTTGTTTTTTTATTTGATCAAATAAACTAAGGAATAAAGAATCTTGATTTTTTTTCGCTCTATAAATATTGTTAAGACATCTGGTGTGAAAAAAAAGTTTATGACGCTGAATTGGACTTCCGCGATAAGAAAATCGGAAATACCTTTTTCTCAAATTACTCTCATTTAGAAATGGGAAAATGACACAAATGTCCTACGAACTTTCTAGGGTTTATCCTTTTAGTCCCTAAACAATTTTTGTGGCCTTATGAGGGAACGAAGTCGTTTTTGTCGGGTCAATTACATCCTTTTGGCCAAAGTGAAGGGTCACCCGATTATCATTGACATTTGTTGACCAATTTTCCTATAATGACTTTGAATTTTCCAAACCCACATATCTCTCTCTCTCTCTCTCTCTCTCTCTCTCTCTCTCTCTCTCTCTCTCTCTCTCTCTCTCTCTCTCTCTCTCTCTCCTTGAAAGTCAAAGTCAGAAAGGTGATAACTCTTCTTTCTTTCCTGATCAATTGTGGCATTACACAAAAACATGAAACATTTGTTTCTTCCTCTCACCATGTCCATCACCACCTTCATCGTCTTTGGGGATTATAAACAAAAGACTTAACTTCCAAAAAGTCAGCAGCTCACATACTCCCACCTTCTCCACCCTTAACCACCACACATCACCACCTCCTAACCACCATTACCACCACGATTGACCACCGTGTCTCCTCACTCCTGCTACTGATCGGAGCTAGCCAAACACACTCACATGTGCAGCTGATACTGGACCAACTCGTAACCCACTGCCGGAGAAACACACCACCGAGGGTGTTGAACCACCGACTGCGAGCCACCATGAACGACCACCATCATCGTTCCTTTTTCTTCCTTTCTATTTATCTTGTGTCGATCACAGCAAACCCATTACACCCCCCTAGTCCATCGACTACTATTACCATTAACTCCTCTCTCTCCATCGTGTTCTACTGTCGGAGATCGGCACCCGCCACCCATCCCCGGCGAGGAAACTCCCCAACCTCCGCCGCTGCTCTGTTGTGCTTCGACCGTCGGATAACACCCCTTTCCTCCTTTCGTTTTCATCAGCATAAGGACAAGCAGGAGCTGCGAAACCCAACTCCTCCCGTCGCTCCGCCACCCGAACAGCTTGTTGCCACCACTGCTGTTGTGAGTTCCGACCACCAAAGCCACCGGTGGTGGGTCTATGGCAGGGGTGATGATGTAGTGGTGTTGTTAATGATGGTTTGAGAGAGAGAGAGAGAGAGAGAGAGAGAGAGAGAGAGAGAGAGAGAGAGAGAGAGAGAGAGAGAGAGAGAGAGAGAGAGAGAGAGAGAGAGAGAGAGAGAGAGAGAGAGAGAGAGAGAGAGAGAGAGGTGGGCCCCAAGTTCTGTCTGTGTCCCCTAAACCGGCTAAAACAAGTAAAGGGGACTAAAAGGACAGGTTGCTCACAACTTGGTTCCCTCGTAAAGCCACGAAAACACTTAAGTGCTTAAAAGGGTCAACCCTAAAAATTCGTAGGCTATATGTGTAATTTTCCCTTTTGAAATTTCACAACTTAACATTATAAATTAATCGTCATTTATATTTATTTGATTGTTCTAATAAGATTTTCGAGGCAATTGTTGGTGTTATTGGAGTTGCATATTTATTTGATTGATGATGAAAAGGTGCTATCTGTGTAGATATCATATCAAAAAATGATATTGTTTTAGATCTCCCTTAAATATAAAGTATACCATATGATATTACTTTAAAAGGAGTAATATAAAAAAAATAATTTAAATAATTTTGTGCTTGTGTGATAAGAAATAAATAAGTACCCACATCAATTGGCACGTTGAGATATATGTTACATTTGACTATCAAATCCATCCCCAAATTTGTCAGATATTTTTCCTATATATACGAATGTTTATAACATTAAACAGTTTCAAATTGTCTATCACATATACATTGTAAGAAACGAGATGTCGCTGCAAAATGATGAACAATCTACAAACTTGCTTCATTCTCAAGCGCACATCTGGAACCACATCTTCAGCTTTATAAACTCCATGTCTCTCAAATGTGCTATTCAGCTACAAATACCTGATATCATCAATCGCCATGGTGCACCAATGTTGCTCTCCGAGTTAGTTGAAGCCCTCTCCATCAACAAGGAGAGAGCTCATTTTGTCTATAGACTTATGCGCATCCTTGTTCACTCTGGTTTCTTTATCAAACAAAGTATATGCACAACAGGAGACCATAAGGAGGAGGAAAGAGAAGGCTATTTGCTAGCTCCTGCTTCTCGCTTCCTTCTAAAGGAAGAGCCATTAAGCATTAGACCCTTTTTGCTAGCCATGTTGGATCCAATACTGATGGATCCATGGCAACATATGAGCAAATGGTTCCAGAACGATGACATCAACCCTTTTCACACAGCCCACGGAAGGAATCTTTGGGATTTTGCAGGCCAAGATCCGAATCTTAACCAGTTCTTCAATGAAGCAATGGGCAGTGATGCAAGGCTTGTGACAAGTCTGGTTCTAAAATACTCTAGAGATGTTTTTGAAAGGTTGAATTCAGTTGTTGATGTTGGGGGTGGTACTGGAACCGTTGCCAAAGCTATTGCAGAAGCTTTTCCTGATATAAGTTTCAGCTGTTTTGATCTTCCTCATGTTGTTGATGGTTTGGTAGGAAGTAAGAATTTGAGTTTTCTTGGTGGAGACATGTTTGAATCCATTCCAAAAGCTGATGCAGTTTTGGTCAAGGTATTCTTTATTATTATTATTTTTTTCACTTAAGTTTCCAATCTTAAAATTATTCCGTTTCATCCTGCAGGACATAATTAATTTTTATCTTGTTTATTAATTGCTTTTGTGCTTTGATAAAATAGTGGATATTACATGATTGGAGTGATGAAGAATGCATAAAGATATTGATGCAATGCAAAGAGGCAATCCCCAGCAAAGAAAATGGAGGAAAAGTAATCATCATAGACATGGTTTTGAAGAACGGTGAAGGGGACAAGGAATTACTCGAGACTCAGCTTTTCTTTGATATGCTTATGATGACCTTGGTGACAGGAAGAGAGAGGAGTGAGAAAGAATGGGCAAAGCTTTTCGTGAACGCTGGCTTTAGCGATTACAAGATAACTCCAATTTTGGGGTTAAGATCTCTCATTGAAGTTTATCCCTAGGACCCTAGCTAGTTAAGTTGCATTGCTTTTAATACATCGTAAGTATTGATGAAGCAAGTAAAATATGAAACTTATTTGTACGTTCTTGTTCTGTTGTTTCTTTTTGTGAGTGTTTTCCATCTTTAATCTATTTCATCTCATTAATATTAAAATGGATTAATGCATAAAAGGGGAACCAAACTATTACCAATTATATATTTCTGTCCAGAGAGGCTAGCATTAATCTAGCATTGGTGGAAAGAATATGTGGAAATAACTTACAAACTAATGGGGTAATTGGCTCTTTGACATGAAAAAAAAACGCTATAAAATAGCATATAGATATGACGGTTAAGCGGCTGAAAACAATTGCTAACTTATGCATTTTCGAGGGAGTCATGTTTAGAACCTAAACCATATATTCAGCATTCCACCCCCTTAACCACCCGAGAAATCATTTACTTAGGTGCTGTTTATTTTTCTTAAAAAACCATTTCTTATCACTTATTGTTGCGTCGTGCAGTACACGTGCATCACTTGGCCCTTCGCAGCTATTTGTTTTTCAGAAGATTTCTGACTTAAATACTGTTGCGCGTGTGATGCGTGGCGCAACACTTGACCCTCTGCTTCAAACATCTTCACACCTTACTTTAACTTATTGCAACAGTCTGCAGAGGTTATAAAACAAACAAACTTTTTATTAAATGATGCAGCCGTTTGGTCCCCCTCTTATACTACTGAGGGTTGCAGAGTTGGTCCGCAGACTTCAAACATTTTCGCTTCGAAAAAACAAACGACACCTTATAGTGTTAATAGTCAATAGTGATATATAGAGTATATATAAGGTACGCGTAAAAAATAAATTCGGGATTTTAGACATTCACCCAAAACTTGTTCATGGCCATGGATAAGCATATGAACGGCGACAACAATTTTATAGAGAGAAAAAATAAATAAGTCTAAGACAAAATTTCAAAAATGGTCCCTGTGGTTTCACAAAATCTGAAGTTTGGTTCCTAATTTACAAAAACCTTACGGATCGTCCCTGTGGTTTCAAAACTTTTAACATTTGGTCCTTCCAACTCACTCCGTTACCATTTAGCCGTTAAGTAAGGGGCATTTTTGTCATTTCACTATCCAGGGACCATTTATGAGGTTTTCTATTATTATTTTTAAATAAATAACTAAATATATATGCAAGGGGTCCCACCCCATCCCTTTCTCTCTCTCTCTCTCTCTCTCTCTCTCTCTCTCTCTCTCTCTCTCTCTCCGGATTCCTGCACAAATATTGTGAAAACGATTGTGGGGTTGTTCCTTCATCTCCCTCCGATCTGCATCCCTAAAACTGAAAACCCTCTTTCATAATTCTATCTCTTTCCCTTTCCTCGCTCTTGCCTTTCAAACCCCTTTTCTCTATCAACCAACACCCCCCGTCATCATGTAATCACCAATGACCAATATGCCAGAGCTAGAATCACTTCGCTGGAGGAACCGACTGTTACTCCGGTGGGACTCCATCGCGAGTTAATGTCGAAACATGTTGCAGTCATCAATGACGGAAACAGAAGATGGGCTCGGTCAAGAGGATTGATGCCTCAGGCGGGCTACTTGATCGATGCCGGAGCATTGAAGTTCGTGGTGGATCTGTGTCGTAAGTGGCGAATCCAAGTTCTTACAGTCTTCACCTTCTCTTCTGACAACTAGTTAAGACCCAAAATATGTGTAATATCGAAATTGGATTCCAATTTCATCAGAACTGTGTGGGTTCAGTCGATTGATTGGTTGTGTTTATGTAGGTCGAAGTCGATTTCTTAATGAGACTGCTTGAAAACACATTAAAAGATGAAGTTGCTTCTATGTCGAGGTAATTGACTAATTTCCACTGCTTTGAAAATGTTGTCGTTCAATTTCAATCCACTTTCAAAATGGAATTTCGATAACAGGGATGAAATCGGAGTTTCTGTCATTGGAGACGTATCTAAGATTCCGCAATCATTACGAGATTTCATTACACATTGTGAGAACCCTATTCTTGGTAACTTACGAGTCGCGATGGGTGGTTCTTGGTGGCTGCTAGTCACGGTCCAAGGGTAAAGGATAAAGGTTGGTGAGTGTTTGTGGTGGTGTTTGGTGCCAGCAGGGGGCAGAGGGTGGATTGACGGTGGATTCGTTAAAGCTTAGACATAAGCTGAAACAAGAGAGAGAGAGAGAGAGAGAGAGAGAGAGAGAGAGATGGGGGTGGGAACCCTTGCATATTACATTTTATTTATTTATTTAAAAAAAAGTAATAGAAAACCTCATAAATGGTCCTTGGGTAGTGAAATGACAAAAATGTCCGTTACTTAACGGCTAAATGGTAACGGAGTGAGACGGAAGGACCAAATGTTAAAAGTTTTGAAACCACATGGACGATCTTTGAGGTTTTTGTAAATTAGGGACCAAACTTCATATTTTGTGAAACCACAGGGACCATTTTTGAAGTTTTGTCAAAAGTAATAGAAAACCTCATAAATAGTCCATGGGTAGTGAAATGACAAAAATGTCCCTTACTTAACGGCTAAATGGTAACGAAGTGAGACGGAAGGACCAAATGTTAAAAGTTTTGAAACCATAGGGACGATCTGTGAGGTTTTGTAAATTAGGGACCAAACTTCAGGTTTTGTGAAACCACAGGGACTATTTTTGAAGTTTTGTCTAAGTCTAATCCTACTTACCATTTCCAAGAAATAATATATATATATATATATATATATATATATATATATATATATATATATATATACACACACACACACACACACACACACCAATCACCAAAACAGTCATCAATTTTGTAGATGTGTCTATAAAATTAGAAGACCATTTCGTAAATATCATCTACGAAATAGTAGGATCGGCCTAATGGGAGGACAAGCCGAGCGACCTCCCGGACTCATGTGTGACTAGGGGCCTTAATATATCTTAGAGGGTGTTTGATATTTCGTTTTAAACCTCAAAATGACTTTTAGGCAAAAAAAGACTTTATCGGCTTATTGTGGTAAGAAATGAGTTTTTAAGAAAAATGTCTTAGTTAACTTTTGTGATAGGAAAAATCAATAAGTTAATAAGTCATTTTTTTCTGTTTTCTTTTAAAATGTTTGTTTGTCTTAACGTATATATGTTTTAAAGGAAATTTATCTTCTAAAACCCAAAAGGTTATAATATGTTTTGAAAAGTCTTAACTTATTAAAATCTCATTAAAGAAGTTATTTAATATATAAATGCACATGCTTCATTAACCAAACGTAGCTCTTTTGTTTATATGCATTTAGTTTAGTTGATACAGTTAAGGCACATGCGTAAAAGTTGTATTGTGATGAAATATCGTTTTGGATCTTATTAAATCTAAATCTGAATATACTTTCGCTGGTTTGTTTTGGTTGAGATGTATTTATTGTTAGGGCATATTTTTTTTTGAACCGGCAAATACATATATTATAATGTACTCCTAAACTAACACCTAATTCCATTTATGTTCGCCACGGGACTTGAACCCTCAACCTCAAGGAGGAAGGACACCACCTAATACCGGTGGGCTAGAAGCCTTTTTTAATGTTAGGGCATATATAAAAATTTTCCTATTGTTAATTGCTTTTTGCTTATCTATCCAACTCATATCAATTAAATATCCATTTTAAAGTTGGATAGAGATGAAATATTGTTTCGTATCCTCGTAAATCTAAAAATTCATCTATATTCTATATTTGTTGGTTGAGATGTGTTTATTATTAATGGCTTTTTTTGGATTCGACTCCCACCAATCAGATATGTATTTTAAGTTGATTTGGTTGATATCTGTTATTTTTAATGGTTTTTTTTTCGTATTCCATTCTCACCTATTAAATATCTATTTAAGCTTTTTTTTTTAACCAGCAAATATATTATAAAATTACCACTAGCAAGTAACTAGTGGAACAAGGAGTACAGGAATAGAAATAGGAAATAGAAAATATTTACAAGCAATTAAGGGGAGAAGAGAAATAGGAAATAGAAAATATTTACAAGCAATTAAGGGGAGAAGAGATCCAAGACTTCCAATCTAAACTCCCCTTTGGTGATCTATGCTTCAACCATACAAAAACCATAGATTTTGCTATATCAACAATAGCCGCCGGCGAGGTCTTGACTCCTTTAAATACCAATTCGTTACGGGCTCTCCAAATGCACCATAAGACTCCAAAGATGATATTGCATAACACCTTTTGCTTCTTTCGATTTTGCCCGTGTTTGCACGCAAATGCCACGATCTCCTTCACAGATTCGAAGCATTGAATCGCTAGGCCATACCAAATGAGAACCATGTTTATCACTTGTTCACCCATCGGGCAGGAGACGAGTGAATGGTTCGAGCATTCTGTATTGTTACCACACACCAGACAGTTCAGCGAATTAATATGGACTCCCCTTTTACTTAACTCCAAAGCACTAGGGATCTTTCCCAGCCTTGCACGCCACACAAAACACAACACCTTGAACGGGATCAATTTTGACCATGAGAACACGCCGTCGCAGACAAAATGGGGAGCGTGCTCAATCTTTCCCTGCAGTTCAGCCACCACAAAAGATTTATTTTCTGCAAAGTCAGATTCCCAGTAGGTATTCAATTCGTTCCATCTAATTATCTACGAAAGGTTTATATCCAGTTTGTCCAACTCATGAATACTTTTTGATATATTCCACCATACACCGTTTAAGACTCTGTTCGATAAACTTTCTGGAAAATTTTCATTTAACTTGTGAAGCCCACTAACCACCTGGGCCCACAGTGAATTTTGATCTGTCTTTAATCTCCAAATCCATTTTGCCATCAAAGATAAGTTCAGAGCTTTAATAGAGCCTAATCCTAGTCCACCAACATCTCTAGGGGCAAGGATTTTTTCCCAGTGAATGCTTTTATTGTTTTGAGAGCCTTGCCATATGAAGCACCTCCTTATTTTATCAATTTCTTCCACAACCCCGATTGGAGCCAAGAATAGTGAAAGAAAGAAGTTTGGGAGATTGCCGAGCACCGCTTTTGCCAATGTTATTCGGCCACCAAAGCTTAAAGTCTTTGTTTTCCACAACGAAAGTTTTGTTTTTATTTTTTCAATAATCGGTTTCCACGATCTCTTGAGGTTCATATTAGCTCCCACAGGAACCCCAAGATACGTGAATGGTAAGGAAGCCGGCTCACATCCGAGAGGGATAGCCCAACTTTCGACCTCATTAATATTTGCACCCACACCAAATACCCGAGACTTATCAAAATTTACTTTGAGACCAGATGCCGCATGGAAGCATCGAGGAACTCTGGCAAGATTTGCTATGTTTCTCGTTGACCATTCGCCCAAGAACAAGGCATCATCCGCGTAAAATAAGTGAGAAACAACCCTGTTTGTGTTAGGAATCAAGATACCGTCAAATATTCCTTTTGATATCGCCTCCTTCATTACGATGTTGAGCCCCTCCATTGCAATATTAAACAAGTATGGATATAGTGGGCCGCCTTGTCTCAACCCCTTTGTCATAGGGAACTCCGCAGTGGGACTACCATTGACAATGACTGAGGCTCTTGCGGATTCCAAACAACCTCTAATCCACCTCCATTTATTCCCAAACATCATTTGCTCCATAATCGAGTCAAGATACTCCCAATTGACCGAGTCAAATGCTTTATTAAAATCTACCTTGAATAGTAACATTTGTTTACCTCTTTTCTTCACCCAAGCGCATAGCTCGTTAACAATTAGCGGACCTTCAAGAATGTTCCTTCCTTCGATAAAGGCAGATTGTTCCTCCCCAATGCAACTACCAATGACACTTTTAAGACGGGTTGCGAGGATTTTCGCAACGATTTTATACATCGATCCGATTAGGCTAATTGGCCTATAATCAGGGAGACATAGTGGGTCTTTAACCTTGGCCGCCAACGAAATAAAAGAGGAGTTGATTCCTCTTGAGAATTTGCCACAACTTTCAAACTGTTTTACATAAGCACAAATATCGTCTTTTAACACCAACCAATATTTTTTAAGAAATTTGAAAGTAAATCCGTCCGACGCGGGGGCCCGATCATCACCACAAGCCCATACTGCTGATTTTATTTCCCCCATCTTAATTTCAGCTTCCAACATTTCGTTGTTCAAGATCGAAAGTTTCTGAAATCTTGAGCTTCTAATTTTCGGTCTCGAAGGCCAACGTTCCATGAACTTGCCCGAAAAGAATTTATGTATCTCGTCTTTGATAGCATCCGGTTCCGAAATCCAACAGTTGTCGATTTTGAGACCGTAAATGTGATTTTTTCTTGATTTATTGTTAACAAAATCATGAAAAAAATCTAGTATTTTCGTCGCCATCCGTAACCCACTTCACCCTAGCCTTTTGTCTCAAATCCAAGGCTGCTATGCGAACCGATTCAGTGTATTTTTTTTTGTTCCAAAGCCCTTTCCTCTATTTCATCCGCTGACAACAGCCTATTCTCAGCAATGAAGTCAATCTCGTCAGTCCTTTTTTTTTGCAAGCAAAACCACATTCGACTCCCTGGGGAATTCACTAACACGCCACTTCTTAAGTCCTTCTTTAATACATTTCAATTTTGCAGCCAATATGTAGTCCATAACCACAAAATTGAGAACAACATTGGTGCACAATCTGGTCCAAACTTTCACGAAGAAGCCAGGAGTTAAAAAATTTAAAAGGCCTAGGACCAAAGTCTAGGAATGATGTTCGAAGGAGGATCGGGCAGTGGTCCGAGAGCTCCCGAGGTAATGCAGTCAAATGTATTGACAAATTTCGAACACACCAAGGTTAGATATTTTTATTTATAAGAACCAATATGCTTGATCACTTCTTTCTCGTATCGATCATTTAATATCATTCCTTGACTTCAATAAGAGGCGCGTAAAATAGGCTGTTTTCATTTTTGGTGTTAAACTTCTTAATCTTAACAACTAATTATAATTTTTTTATGAAGGGTCTCTATTTTGTTTACGCCTAGGGCCTAAAATATTATTGGATCAGCCCTGCGTGCGAAGGGACTTTATGCAAAATAATCGATAAAGGTTGCTTTTACTAGG